CCATTGGCATTTCAAGTGATAACAGGAAAGTTCACACCCTGTGAAAGCCAAATCATTCCTCAGCAAAACAACAGAGATTTATAGTGAGTAGTTCTAAAACCTGTTGCATTATCCAAAGTCTCTTTCATTTTAATTTGATGCTGTGCAATGTTCACATATGGTAGAAAATCAAACTACACAACCAATACAGATGTTTGATAGTTTATTCCTACCCAGTTCTGCTGTATCCCATAATATGGGCTCTGACATATTCAGTCATGTCGCATAACTTTAAGAATCAATGTAAATAATTAGAATCAGTGTATTATTACACCTCCACGAAATACACTCACTCAGCTAGTAAAAAGCTTCAGAAAATCCAAAATTCCACCACTGTGCTCTGTGTTTGATGCGTGGTCACTTTAAATATTACCTGAGCACAGACCACTGTATCAGCTCTCCTGCTGCTTCCTGCCCAAACTGTCAGGCCTCCGCCAGCAAAACCCATCTCTATGGCAACATGACATACGCCATTTGGTGGACGTGTTTGTAGCTTGTCGAGCTTAAGTGCTGCTTTTTTGTGGTACGGCTGCCCGAAGCGAGGTAAAGGCCCGACTGACTCTGGCCTGAGCAGGAAGGGTCAATAATGGTGGAATAAAGAAGACACTGAATTATTGATCAGCAGCTTGTTTGCCGCTAATGTTCCATTCTTTAAAACGTGTTGTTGTTCACGTTTTGATGACGTGTCTTGCTCTTGAGGTGAATTTGACTCTGAGATTGTTTCATCTTGATCTCTTTGTTGTCTTTTGTGTGTCTTGGGTCTTTACTTGCTCTGCTCTGATCAGGGTTTGATCTGGATCACCTCCCGCTCCAGACGGAGACGTGACCGAATTGGGGCTTGAAACTCACTTACAAATAGTCTGAGGTTTATATCTAACTGCTGAGGCGATTGTCATTTGGTAGACGGAAGATTATTTTGCCATTTCCGTGGCCCGTCGGGTAGCCTGCTGCATGCTACAGCGGGTGGTCTAACACCTATATCAGCTCTGCTCTACTTCACGCGGCAGGCTGACTTCTACCGCGTGGAGGCCTTTGCTTCTAACTTACTGCTTTGAAAGTATTCGACTATAAGGGCTCATATACACATGTAAGATAAAGCCACAAGACATCTGTGGAAGTGAGGAGGCCTCTTCTAGTATCAGGTGGTGAAGTCTCTTTGAGTAAAGACTACTTCTGTTTACAGTTCCGTACATTCATTGAATGCTTTAACTGAGCCGATTCTGAGAGCATCTGTTACCAGGAGGTGAATATCTCACTTTAGATTGAACTCATTACACATACAGGAGGTGTTGCTGCATGTTTTTTCCCATCAAGTGGTACGGAAGGAAAGGAAGTCTGTCTCGGTTGTTTGAGACTTGAGGAAGTTTGGCGGCCATGTTACAGATTGTGGCGGCGGAGCGTTGTGGTTCATGTAGTAAGGAAACGCTCATGAATAAATTACATGCAGTGGGAGAAATAATCAGTCCAGTACTCCGAAGTTAAAATGATTTTAGCTACAATACAAGTCCTTAGTACATGAGGTAATTTCTATAACTGACTTTGAAAACAAATTAAAAACGTGTTTCAGCTGAATGATGTCATACACACACCATAAGAAAACATCTGGAACACATTAATTTAACGGAATGCAATCGGCAGAAGTAAAAAAGCTAACGTTAGGTGATAAACAAACTACACCGCAGTTCCATGAGAGCGAGTTTAAACACAACGAGGCTGGGAAGGTAGACTAGCATGATTTAGCCACTTGTTAACAACCGCCGTTTTCAAGATACATACAGGCTTCAAAAGTCATGAGCGGGGTATGTACTGACATGTTTTATACATCGTAGAACAAAAACGTTAAAATCTCTTCAGCTAGTGTTAACCACAGACCTTATTTCAGGCTTCTAACCAAAAACCCATTCAAAAAACCCATTGACTTCCAGTCGAGGGAACTGGAAATGCAAAAATGCAAACTCATCTGTGGGTTTAAGGGCTCATTCCTGCAGCATTCTATACAGCTTTGCATATTTCTGTGTTTCCATATTGGGCTGTTAACGTTCTTATCAGGATTCTTGGGTGCTTGCGCTTATTTCCACATCCAGCAGACACAAACCAACGTCAACAGCATAGTTATGTTGCTTTTAGCTGTGTTGTGGTGTCCACTAACTCCTGATGGATTCTTTTTGGCTGCTTAATGGTCCTCTATGTGTACGACATTTGACCACCATGTTACTAAGCTCATCCAGCCCCGTCTTCTTGAGCTAAGTAATATAACAAATATCAGCTGTATCCTCTCTACCAAAAACCGTGGTTCTATTAATTCACATTTCCATTTCCTCCAGTCTAGATTATTGTAATTCCCTCTACACGTGTCTCCGTCAAACTGCTCTAAATCATTTACAGTTGGTTCAAAAAGCAGCCGCGAGGGTTATTAACTTGAACTAGCTGTTCGAACTGCCTGTTAATTACATATAAGGAACTGCATGACCTTGCCCCCAGTTCTATATTTGATCTCCTCGTTCCTCATTCTACTTCTCGACCATACTGATCCTCAAGCCTCTATCTTTAATGCCTCCCAGCACCAACTGCAAGACAAAAGGTGTTCGCGTCTTTGCTGTTTTAGCCCCGATCCTGTAGAATTATTTCCCCCAATCTATCAGATTTGCTGCTTCTTTGTACTGTTTTAAGCGGCTTAAAGGCAAGCTTTCTTTTATTGATTTTGTTCCCTTTCTTATATTTTGATTTATTTAGTTCTGTCCCACATTTTGCTTTATATGGTAATTTATTTATACTAACTGTGTGTTTTAAAAAGGGCTATAGACCCTTTTACTGCCAACGGCATCGTCAAAAATATGCGCGTGCATGTTGGCAACAAAAGTGGCCTTTTTCCCTCAGCCATCCAGACGAGTTAGCAAGCTTTAAACATTGAGTTAAAAAAAGTTTACACCATTAAAATGTCTGGTTGTTGCGCGTTCGCTCGTCAGAATCGATTATCGGACAACGGATTCAAGTTCTGCAGAATTTGGACTGGATTACAACCCTTCCAGAGCAACAGGTTTCAGGTTTATAGATAATAAGCACAGATGAGTAAGTATTTCAAATTAATCACAGGCATTTAAGAGGACACCTACATGTTCTGTTGGTGTTTGCAACAGCTGCCATCACTAAGAGCAGTTAACACGGTCACTTGATAAACCGAGACACCGAGGGCGTCTAAGGCGTCTAAGGCTTCAAGCTATTTAACGTGCTGACAAGCACTGGACTGATCAAAAATACTGGTGTTAGTAGCTCCCACTTCTTAACTCAATCACCTCTCAGTCTATGTCATGGTGTTTGTGGTTCTGTACATGACCATAGATAACCTAGTTGTAAGCATCTAGTGACGTTATGGGCTAGCATTCTGCACCAAAATATGTGGCCACAAAATAAAAGATTTCGTATACACAAAGAGTCTGGAAAGTCAATTTGTTTAGGTTGCATTCGCAATTGCTGGTAATTAATGTCCTTGCTCCATCACACTGCGGTTGTTAAACTGCGTTCGCAACAAACTGTAAAAGTCAAAATAAATAAAGCTTTACTCACTTACTCTATACGTTCACCAGTGTGTTGCTAACTTTGTCAGTTGTTTTGTGTACAGCGGATTCATCGGAGCTGCCTGCTGCTCATTACACATAGGCATTTGATCCATAGTTAATAAAAGATATTGATTAGAGAAGCTTCAGCAAACAATGTTTTCCACCAACAGCCATAAAGCATATTATTATAATGATTCTCCATTAGTTTCAGTCTTGAGCTGTTCTTGAGCTTTTTTTTAAAAACTGTCAATGGAATTGTTCTTGGCATAGATTTTGCATTTACATTTTACTGTACATTGAGCACTTAGCATACATTATAGTTCTGTGCACTCCTGAATCTAGTTTGAAAGCCTCATTTTGCATAGATTTCTATTTGTCTTGGACTAACTGGTGGTCAGAGTGATGCAGGTGATTTCTTCCCTTTTTAAAATGTTCCTCTCCTCCTCTCTCGCTGTCTGAAACGAGACTGTCATGACTTCCTTCCATGAAGAGAAACATTGATTTTGGCTCAGCGGGGATCATGCAAAACAGCCTCTCATTAAAATCATAATTAGAACTTGGAAATGGCACGCGGGGTTCAACTCTAAGGGCGAGCTGAAAATCACTGGAAACTATTAAACTTGCACTTAGCCTTTCACTCCCAAACAAAACATGTCTGATTCCGGTCACACGACGTGAAGCGAAAGCTAAAAGCAACGTCACACCTGCTGGAGATGTTTCCAGCGTTATATTGACGTCTAACTGTTTCGTTTCAGCCTGTCCTGTTTCATCCTGTTTAGTGACCAAGAAAGGACTTATTTAGATACTAAAACTATATGTTAGATTTTACTCTAACACGTTAAAAAAAAAACTAAAACCTGAAGGTCACTGCCGTGCGTCATCATCATCCATTGTTACACAAATATCAAACTATATTCAACATCAACTCTCTGACAATCCTCATAAACTCCCCCCGTCAGTTGTGAGGGTCCAGTTTAAACACACACACCTACACACACACACACACACCTACACACACACACACACACACACACACACACATTCTGCCCTCTCCCTGTCCCCAGCCCCCGGTTGCCTAGGAGACAGCTGAGATGGGGACCCCGACTCATAACACACCGATAGGGCTGAGTGTGGCTGGAGGAAGATGCATGGGATCTTTAACGCCATCTAGCAGCCAAGACAGAGAAAGACATTTAATGTGGCTTTTTTTTTTTTTTGCTTTTTTTTTAAAGCCACGATTCTGCCTAGTAACCAAATATGCTGACTTCTTCTCCTGGTGCTGAGATCCCAGGCTGGAATTTCTAATGAGACACATCAATATATGTTCAATGTGGGCCATTAGTCAAATAGTAACCTACTAGGTCACCAGTGATTGATTGTACAACACGAGGGGGGGAAAAGTGTCGTTTTTGTATTTTATTTAAAAGGGACCATGTAGAGCTTAAAACATGAATGTCACCATTTGATGCACCGTACCAGATTATAGCTCTAAGATAATTCTCATCTGTAGTCCCTTGGCAGGTCTAAACAGGGAAAGCAGTTTCAATGCAGTAAGCGTTTACTACAGTCGACAGCTATAGTCACTTGTCATATTATATGTAAATGCATTAATAATGTATGTGCTATATTATCATTCTGTAACACTGACAGGGGCCATTCTGTAAAATACTGTATATAGTAGTACTACTCTTTAAGTACACTTTGTTGCCTTCTGTAGTTTTACTTTAAAAAAAAGTAATACAGGACTTTTAGTTGTGATAAAGTAATTAATGTTGTTGTTACTTTTACTCAAGTAAATGATCTTCACCAATGCACTTTACTTAATATATTTCTGTACTGTACTAAATAACATAAAAACCAAGGAAATAAACGGGATTATTTTGTAGAGGTCTAAGGTGAAGGACTTCTTTGAGGATCCTTGTTAAAGGAAAAACTGTGTGTACTTGTGTCCTACAAAGTAGTCTCCTTAGTATCCTAATGATCAATAGGTCCACTCTGTGTATCTCCTCACTTATGAGTCGGTAATAATTCATCACTTTGAACAACAAAAATACATTCGGTAGACTCTCCATACTCCAAAACGTACCAGTAATTGATTTTATGTATTTTAATACAGTGAAGAAAGAAATATTCAGTTATACCTAAGTAAAAGAAGCAATACCGCAATGTAAATGTAATCCATTACCACTGTCCCTGTAATTGTATTATATATCGGTTATACTATCGAGGCTGCATTAATGACTTTGCAGTATTTTAATGTTGTAGCTGGTGGATGTGATGCTCATTTTAACTTCATGTACTGTTGAGTAGTTTAGCAACAATTCATCTGCAAAGTAACTATAGCTTTAAAATAAATGTAGTGAGGTAAAAATACTTCCCTCTGAAATGTAATGAAGTAGAAGACTAATGTCTTTTACTGTCTGTTGTGTTTAAGATCTAGTCCATGTTCTATGACATCATTTAGGGTAAAGTCTAACTCTTTTCTGCATTCTGACACGTTTCATATCAACGCTTCAGTACGCACAGTATGTAAATATAGCGTACTTTTATGTATGGAGCCCTTCCGCAGAATATCACACAAAGTTTTTTTCTGTAATATGCTGCAGTTTATTAACTCTAGTTGTATTACATATTAAAAACATCAAGTAGAAATGGCCACATATCTACACAGCAGCAGAAGCAGGGGTTTTGGGCTAAACTGAGCAGGACACTGTTGTGCTTTTAATTTCTACTCGGCTGGGAACAGAAGATAGATAATCCTTGAAACGAAGCCACAGACACACTCGAGTTGTCCCCTCTCTATATGTTAAAGGTTGTGGATGGTTACTCTAGTCACCATAATGCGAGAGTGCAGTTAGGAATGTCAGCTAATTCATACTGGGGTTATTAAAGAGTAACTTAAATCGTGTTTTTCATGACCTCATCTGGTTTAACTTCTCATGTTGCTGCAGTGATGTACAGGAGCAAAGCCATGTGCTGCTGTTGACGTGGGCAGCAGCTAAAAAGAAAGACGCGCCTTAAAATAATTAATATTAGTTAAAGCGTACGTACGCTACATTTAGGATATTTTCACGGCTTTGCCCTGCCGTCAGACAGCCCTTTTATGACGGGAAATTAAGGCTGTTATCTTTTCTCTCTTCAAAGCCACCAGACTCCACTGACAAAAACAGTACTTTTACCTTACAGAACACAGGAGCTGCTGCTCTGCCGCTGCTTTGATCGGTCAGTTTGTATGAGTTATTGTGTGACTTTGGTGTTTTAAAGGGTTAGTTTGGATTATTTTGTCAAAGGAGTCTCGTGTGGCTTTAAAGATAACATAGATAATCAGTTCCCCATTTGGAAAGGGCTGTCTGACGGCAAGGTAAAGCGGTGAAAATATTCCAAATATGGCGTACACTCCTTTGTAGGTGGCTAAAACACGTTTGGCTGATGTCCACAGAAGCACATTGCTCTGCTCCCGTGCTGGTACTCCTGTCTGTTTCTCTTAACTGGGGGCGTGCCGACTGCCATCCGCTATAACTAATACACTGACTATGAATAAGTCCCTCACACAACCCCTCTTCAAAAAATTAAATATATTCCTTTAAGTTACTCTTTAACAAACAAACAATATACTCTGTGCCTAAAGAAGCCAAATATATATTTATAAACATTGTTTCTAACACCACATGATGGTTTGTGGCCTAATGAAGTTTCTACCAGAGTATACAAATATACCAGCGGCTGTGGGACAGTGTTCATTTCCCACCATGTTAACACCTGATTGATGTACAATAAACCTCAGAACAATCTTTGCATCTAAAGAAATTTGAAGTTACTACCATTTCAGTCTATACTTCAATATCATCTAGTGATATTCATGCGCAGGTGAACATAAAGCGTCTATGCACGGCACTTATTTTTAAATGTGAACAATCCACACACGTGACTCTGCACAAACAACCGCCTCGTCATCTTTTTTGCAACATTCTGCCGTGGTCCACCGGATATACGAGTGTTGACTCCACCTAAAGCATAGTTTTGTCATTTAAATGTAGATATAGGCAAGGGTGATTGGAGCTAACAACACAGATTGAAGAACAAAAAAATAAAAGATAGCACACATACAGTACACTTGTAACAAAGATCAACATAGAAATAAAAGACGAAATATCAAGAAATGGACGCTTTCATATGGTAACGTAAGATATGGCATATACTGTAGAACTGGGCACAATGAAACTACTCATTTGCCTTGAAAGAAAAGATTTGCAAACATAAATTGTGGTGAGGTGGCGTTAAAATGAAGGTCTTTGTAAACATTGTCTGTTCTAGGCCTCTGATTCGGACTGGTCGGTGGCGACGCTGCCGTTCAGCTCGCCCAGTCCTGTCTGCTCCTGGATGTCCGTCATCTCTCCCACGATGAAGGTCGGCTCCCCTCCTTTGCTGTTGGCCGAGCCGCTGTCCGGCTGCTTGGCCGCCTGGTTGGTCAGGGTGGGCTCCTCGTCCAGCCTGCTGGAGATGGACCAGTAGAGGTGTGCGTCCAGTCTGGCCGCAGCCAATGAGAGCTCACGTGCAGAGACGGAGGGCGTGTCCACCTTGGAGGAGGGGAAACGAGTAGAGTTGGTCAAATCACTAAACTCTTATTTCAGATTTCCACTAAAAGAAGAGATTAGCGTTGCCAAGATGGCAAAAAGAAGCCCCATTCACTGAGCTAGATTTTAGCCTTTTTGGGAAATACACTTATTTGCTTCCGTGATGAGATTTATCTGAGCTTTATTATATTAGCTTAGTTTAAAGACTAGAAACAGCTAGCCTGGCTCTGTCTAAAAGTAACAGAATCCAGCACCTTTAAAGCGCACTAATTAACATGTTAAATCTCGTTCTCCTTTGTTTAACCCATAAAGAAGCCAAAGTGTCAATTTCTGGGTCCCTACATCTCCCATCCGGCGAAAAGCGGCGAAAAGCAGCGAAAAGCGGCACACAGCTCAGCCCAACTGTCACAGCTGTTGTCATTTTCACGGTCAGTGCTCAGGTTGTGTGGAGCAAACGTACTTAAGCCCATCTGTGCTCCCATGGGCGTGTAGTTCTTTAAATGAGGTGTGGTCAGGCGCATTGTTGGCGCAGTGCTATCTTGAGGCAGCAGAAAGCCATTGAGCCAATGACAAACAAAGCCAAGTCTAAAGTCAATGGCACAGTATTTTCCGTACACTCCGCTTGGTGAACACACAGGGAGGTGCAGCAGCGCCTTCCTCGTCAGTTAAATAGGTTGTTATGTGTTTGCTCATGTGCAGTGAAATGGAATTGTTGAAGGGCCGGGGGGGTTGAGAGACGGCGGAGGGTCCGCTGCTCCCTTAAATGGTGTGACTGCATGCTTTCACTTCGCAAACGAGCAGATTTGTTTCCTCAGCAGAAAACCGCTCGATTCTCCAATTTGCTGAATAGGCCAATTAAATAGCAAAGTGCCGGGGGAAGGAGCACCTGGCCTTTTAAAGGGAGTGGGATATGACACTCTGATGGGTTTAATTCATGTTACACCCTAAAACACTGATTACTTAAGTGACAACATACAACCCCTTTGCGCCTTACTTTGCGTCCAGATTATGTGCTGTTTAACTAGCATGGACACTCCCTTAATGCACTTGTACCATCCACTTAATGACATGCGCTATAGATCGGGATCTTGTCATCTCGAGAAGTGCAAACAGCGTAGACTACAGGAAGTCAAACAGAGCCAGGCTAGCTGTTTGTCCCTGTTTCCAGTCTCTATGCTAAGCTAAGCTAACCAGCTGCTGGTGGTAGCTTCATATTTAACAGACAAATATCAGAGTGGCATCAATCTTCTCACTTTACTCTCAGCAAGAAAACACATAAGTAAATTATTCCTTTAAATGTTGTGGTTTACTTGATCAGTATCCCCTTTTCTCCTCCGCCTGCATCGCCTAACACCGAGTACAACCTGCTTTCAACTCACCCACAGAAGTCAAAATGATTAATTGATGATTAATTTTGAACTCGGTTTGAAGCAGTTTTAAAGAGAGGTCAAACATGTTGCAATGTGTGATGAAGTGCTTCTTTTATTAGTTCTTTAGCATGTTGTTATTGTATTAGTGTCTGTGGTCTCTGTGTACATTTGTATAAAAGCCCATCTAAGGATAGGCATGGATTATAAAAGCTGCTGTGTGTGGCATTGGTCCATGCTATGTCCCTACCGAAATAAACATGAAATAAATACTTCTGTTCGAGTTCCTGCATTTCCCAGCATGCCTTTCAACATCCCCGGGAGAACAAGCGTGAGAACTCAGTTATACATGTAGGCGGAGACAGGAATAGGGACAACAACTTACTCAAACACTTGTAGTCGGAGGAAGAACTGGCATGTTTGCCTCCTCCGATAAAAGGTTTAACAGCAGTGAAAAATCTCATAACAGTTTGACATTCAGGATGAAATGTTTTAATTGTTAGAGCTACCAAACTGAGCCCTAATTAAAACGGACTCATCAAAAAAGTCCTGAGCTGCTTTACCAAATCAAACACTCCCAGCCTGTAGTTTGTCCCCAGCTTGGAAATCCCTCACCTCAAACGTGTGATGAAAGGCTCCGTAGTCGATGTCAAAGAAGCCCTTTGCCAGCAACATCATCGGGCTGAACCTGTGACCCCACATGACTTCCTCCGCTAGATAGGAGCTCCTCGCCTGGCACGTCATCCCTGCACACACAGACACAGCAACACTGATGAGTACCCTCGTGATGCAAAAGAGGAAAGAACTGGGCAAAGATCAAAGTCAACGCAACACACCTGAAACTGGCAGAGATCATTAATTTAGTCACAAACTGTTTAAATTGGCGAGGTGTCTTCATATGAATACTTATACTTCCTCCTAACTCTCTACCCGCACTCTGACTCAGGGAATCAATATTTGGAGTAGGCAGAGAGGCCACCTTTACCTCATGGAAGACGCATCATGAATAGCTCTGATACACTGAATTCCTGCCAACCAGTGAGGATCAGTTGAGTACATCATCCTTCTCAGAATGAATCTGACATAAGACAATATGAGATAAAGAGAAAAGAGATAAACAGGGCCCGTCTAAATCATTCCCCGGTACAGGGAACTCGCTATTTGTTCCTGTCAGACTCTGAAATACAGCCACTAACGTCGCAAACTCTGCTTCTAAATGTGTCACGTCTGAGGGGATCTATGAGCAGAGATAAGTGTAATTAACAGGGAGTTAGCCCGTAAGGGGTCGGTGCCTTGCTCAAGGGCAGATGAGTGTTCGCTGACACACATTAACTGGTGTGGGGATCTGGGTGGTTTCTCTGCCTGCTTGTTGCACACACTAACACTTTTTAATCTTCTATACCAATATATTTTAAAAGACTGCTCCCTAAATCAACAGTTAAGTCATGAGAATGTACAGCATAAGAGCACAAAACTGTCCCTCTGAAGGACACAAGCTCCAGTGATACTTTCCAGTGATTTGTTTCCTATTATAGAACACATTCACCTAAATATACTTGTATCTAAATATATGTATATTTCCCCTGTAATCGCAGCATCAAAAGGCTGTAAAACCTCCCGAACGACGGAGAAGAGATGGAGAGCTCTCAAACAATATATTGCAGATCTAAACTCAGATATCCTGGAAGGGGAATTTCATTTTCTAATGGACAGCTTTGGACAGGGTTTGCTTTCTGTAAAACACTGACGGTATTACTGTAATATCAGACTGTTGTATGCATCTGCAAGATTAATTTCCTAATGCTCAATACTTGTTGTTGCAGCAAAAACATGCATTTACATCATAGAGGCCATTACAACTTTACAGTCAAATTAAATTGCACGGCATTATTTCCCATAAAAAACAATGCTGTTACATTGTTAATCTACAACAAATCATTTAAAGCCCTTGAGGTGATAAAACATTGTTAATGGTATTGTTTGTATGGCTTGTACTTTAATACATTTTAAATATATATGCATTTCTTTTTGTGACTTTCCAGTAATCATTCACTGCACAGGGATTTTTAACAGCACATTTTTCATTCTTCCACATCTCATACGTAACATATAAACATATCCTGCTCTGTCATTTTTATGTTGATTATTTTATCTGTGTTATTCAAAACTGCCAGACTTTTAAGATTACCTGCCTCTAAATGTCAGGGGGCATGCTTTACCAAAGACAGATGGATGATTTTAATGTTTGCATTCTTATTACTTCACTTTAACAACGTTTGACACGATCCTCACCGGTTGCCTCCACCATTCCCTCCAGGATCACCACGATCTCAAAGTCCTCCTTCTCCAGCTGGGCCTGCGACATGTCCCAGAAGGGCGAATGCATGTCGATCTCATGGGAGATCACCAGCGGAGAGACCAGGAAGAGACGATCGTCGCCCGTCTCGAAGCCCACGCTGATGTCTGTCTGGTCCAGAGGGATGAACTCGCCTGAAGGAGACGACAAAACAGGAGGTGAGGAAACGGAAAAGGAGGAGATGAGCTCTTTTCTTTATTTATAAATCAAGATCCTCCTGATTGAGTCATAACAGCATAACCATAGAATCTACTCCGTGTTCCACCTCTGGTAGCTGTTTTAAAGATAGTAGTTGTGGTCGCTGTAGTCATCATGCTAGTCCCATTAGTGTGAAATCTGCACCCATACTATGATTAATCTGGCAGTCTCACCCTCCTGCGTCTGCTTGGACTTGATGAGCTTGGCCCTCATGTTGGCCCCTACGATGTGGGAGCTCCGCAGGTCGCCCACCCTGAACATCAGGCAGAGCTTGTCGTCTCTCAGAGAGATGACGGCGTGTTTGGAGAACACCAGCGTCTCTGCCCGTTTGTTGGGCTGCGAGATCTTCACAAACATACAGCCGACCTGCGCGGAGAGGAGGGGGGGGGAGACAAGGAAGGGGGGAGGTGAAAACTCAAAGACACACAGAGCAACAGAATCAAATATTTGCAGTAACCGGAGAAGCAAAGGATTATTGAAGAATGAATGACTTCTCTTGTTTTTCATAATTAACAGTGATGTAGACAAACAATACTTTGAGCTGACTATTTCCAGTCTTAAAACGCAGTAGTGACACTTGAATTGACCTCAGACTCATTATCTAATATGAATAGTAAAACAGCCCGGTTACTAATATGGCATGCTTCCAGCAAACATGCATAAACATGATTCTGCTCGGACGTCGGCGTGTGGGATTCATCCTCATCAAAAGAGTGCTTACTTGGTGGGAAAAATCGAGCTCCATCAGCACATTTTTTATGTATATATATTATTTTTCAGGAAGCGTTTCATCTGCACCAAATTAGTGTCATTTTGTCTGCACGGTATTGATGCATGCACGCTTCTCTCTAGGCTCAAGAAGAAAACAAATGTGTATTAATTCTTTATTTGATTTAGTTGAGCGAACAGGAGCCCTCGTAATCAAACAGGTCAAACAGCATTTACATTTGTTTTAGATTATTTAGGCGCCTTTCTAAATGAAATAAGATAATTTGAACGTTTGACTAATAATTTAAAAAAAATATTTTGTACGCTTTATATTTCTCTTTAGCCTCCTGATGTCCTATATAGCAGGTTTGACACAATCTGATATCCGATGGTCAGAAATAATTCAGTGTCAGTTATGGCGAGGAATATTTTTGTATGATTATGTCCTGTAAAAGTAAAAATATTGAAACATTCAATTTAGAGGTTTCTGTAAGTGAAATTTTTCAATTTATGTGAAGTCTAATAGCCTCAAAATCAAAATACTGTGTAAATATTTTTCTTTAAATGAACATAATAATCTTCTTCATCAACAACGTTAATCAGAATACATGATGCCTTCAACGTAATCTGAATCTGATCTTTTTTTTGCTATTGCTTTCTGAAAGTGATTTTCCCATTCCTCAGTCTTGCAGCAGCCCCGGCCCGGTGCTCACCATGAAGGCGTTGACCATCGAGCCCAGTATAGCTTGCAGCAGCAGCAGCATGGTGCCCACTGGACACTGGTCGGTGATGACGCGGTGGCCGTAGCCAATGGTGGTCTCTGTCTCGATGGAGAAGAGGAAGGCCGAGATGAAGCCGTTGACATTGTTGACGCACGGCGTCCACGTCTCATCCTCCAGGTGGTCCAGATCACCCCTGGAGGGGGGGGGTGAGGGAGAATGTGTGAGAAAAGGGGGAGGTTGGCAAAGTGGGTGTCAAGAGGAAAAAATAGACAGAGAGCGAGAAGAGTTATATTCTAAGAACAGAGGTGCAGAAATACGACTCGTCTCCTTTCAGCTAATTCTGATAATGAATAGAAGTAATCCTCATATTAACCATAATGATTCACACTTTTTGTTGATGCTGCAAAAACCTACTTTTTCTATTGCAAATCATCACGTGCAGCGTCTTCACCGTGCTGGTTTATCTGTCCTGAGCCACTACGAGTCGGCAGATTCTCTTTGAAACTACTCGCTACGCTGGATAATGGTCCTGATTAACACAGCTCCGGCCAGAGAGGGACAGCTCATTAATGAAAGTGGTGTTAAGTAGTCTATATAATATATGATTTGTATTGACCTGTGTTGGTGACCAAAGGGATTGCAATAACACCGACAGCTCTCTGGCACAGCTTAAGGTGTCCTGTAATTGATATAAAGACGTCACGATTTTTACGAGACGAATACGTTAGCTAATTAGAGCAGCGGATCCATCAGACACATCTAGTGAAGAGGTAACTCATCATGATGAAGTACACTGTGACATTAATACTGCTTTGTCATCTGCTTTTTTTGGGGGGCTGAAAAGTTGGGCTTTTTTAAGCCTTCGTTGCAGAAATGTCTCGCAACGCTGGTCACTCTCTCAAAGAGGTGGTCATCCTCCATCTTTGAGCAATTAAAATGCTGGTGTTGCCTCCTGGTGATCGCGTGATGAATGCACATTTTTGGGGAAATATGATAATTGGCTCTTCTTCCCTGGAGTTTGCTGAGAATCAGTCTGTTATTTATGAAGATACAGCAAAGAGAAGGTTAGCTTAGCTTAGCACAAAGACTGGAAACAGGGGGAAACAGCTAGCCTGACTGTCTGAAGGTTAGGAAAAAATCAGCCGTCAGTTTTTGTACGGGTTAAACAAAGCTAAACTAACTTCTCCCTGATGTAACTTTATATTTATCATACAGATATAAGAGTGGTAACAATCTTCCCATCTAACTCAAAAAATGTGAATGAGCACATTCCCAAAAAATGTCAAACTATTCCTTTAATTAGCAAGAATGAGGAAAGAAGAAAGCACACAGAAAAGGAAAGCCCTGTTTTTGATAATACCAATTTTGCCACAATGTCTGTAATACTTATGTTCTCTTGAGCTGTAGGACTTTTGATCTAGCTCTAAATAAACTAAACAAACGTCTTCCTCCTCTTCTCGACAGTCTTACCGACAGTAGGCTATGAGGTACCAGATGGCCCCGAAAAAGAGCCACGTGACGGCGTAGGCCATGACGAAGACGAAGAGCGAGCAGCGCCAGTTGAGGTCCACCAGCGTGGTGAAGATGTCGGTCAGGTAGCGGTAATGCTCCCGCATGTTACCGTGCTGCACGTTGCAGCGACCGTTCTTCTCCACGTAGCGCTGTCTCTTACGCTTAGTCCGGCCTGGCGAGGGCCGGAGAGAGAGAAAAAGCGACACGATGTGGTTACAGAAGTTTGGGTTAATGTATATGTATGTGCAGTATTAGTGTTGGTGCTTTTTCTACGATGTAAACAAGGTTGAAGATGAGTCTTAACAGGTGTCTTAGTTGCATAAGGCTGTGTTCCAAGAAACCCTTTCAAAACCCTTTAGAATACTTCAAAAACGTGAACACTGATGCCTTTCTACATTACTGAAAAGTGTCGCCGTTTGAAGATACAGCTCTGACTGCAAGTCGCAGGATGCGAGTGGAATGAAGGCACGCGAGGAGATTGGAGGATAAACAGAGGAAGGTGGCAGGAGGACAAAACTGCTCAGAGAGATGCGGTGGCTCAGAGAGAAAGCCAGGCTGGTGAAGAAGGCATCACAGAAATGACAACAGACAAGGAAAGAGAGGAGATGAAGTGCGACAGGACAACACCGTCAAACACTCATTGGACTTTAGTTACTGTACAAACCTAAAGGGACCTGTTGTTTCTTTGTAGTGAGCCTTTTTTACTGTGGGTGCACTCAGACACAACTGAGATTGTGACATATGTAGAATGCAAAACGATCCAGTTTTGTGTTGTTTTTTTCCAGCCCTGACAACAACAGTGTATCAGTGAGCGTGCATCCTACTAAACCTATGAAGTCATCAGGTTTGAAGGAACAGTTCAGCCCTAAATGTCAGTGTCTCTGCCTTTTCATCATAAACATCTTCCTGTATGTTGATATTCTGGTATGAATTTTAAAAAAGTCCTTGCTCTTTGACTGCTCACACCAAAACTGGACATGTTTTTGATTTTGGAAAAAGTCTGCTGTGGCTTGATTGTCTAATTTTGTGCCTCTTGCAGGTATCGTCGCGCAAAAACCAATGAACGCTCACAAAGACGTACAGCAAAGAGGAGAGCAACTGGAGCCAACAAAGAGCAGAGTGACTGGAGAAACAATATGTGCAAGACTGTCAAAATCGCTGAGGGATGAACCTCTATAGAACGGTCCAAATTGCGAGTCGTGGAGTAGAAGGAGGCGCACAATTTTAGTCAACACAAAGTATATGTTTGTTGAATCCAGAGTCAGTCACAAGCTCCAAATCTCTTTATCAACATTTATTTCTTCATTAAAAAGGAAAGTAAGTCACATGCAGAGTCACTCACCCCACCCGAACCTCCCCCTCTCCTTCTCCTTCTCCTTCTCCGGCCCCTGGGTCTTCTTGCGGGGCTCATTGGCTTGGGCCTCCCGCTCAGCCAGCTTGTTCTGGAACGACCTCTTGACCTTAACTAAGGGCGGAGGTGGCAGCTCCGTGTCTGTGGTGCCGACGGGGCCCAGCTCCTCCGATAGGTTGAAGACTCCAGGGGAGGCCGTGGCCTCGGTGGCCACGTCCACTTTTTCCCCTTCCCCCTTCTCCTCCACAGGGAGCGAGAGAGAGTCCGGGCAGGCGGGAAAGACCGAGTTCTCAAGCGCCATGGTCCGTGTGAGTGTGTGTGTGTGTGTGTTTGTGTCAGGTGTATTAGCGTGTTATTGATATCCTCCCTATGGCAGTCTCTGTCCAAAGGCTATTGATTGGACCATTTGTTTGCCTGACTGAAGCCTGGAACATAGGAGAAGAACACAATGATCACGTGAAATCCTGAAATCGATTAGCTGTTTTGCTGTCACACTAATTCACGACAGGTGATTTTTTTTAAAGAAATAGCACCCATACTTCAGGAGCTTTTCAGTCCCTTTAATTTATCTTAAGATACAGCTTTATTTTCTAGGCCTGTAGCTTCTGTGTTGCTTGCCACACAGATCTGACTTCCTGTCTGCCTGTTTCTTCATTTCACCTCTTTTTGAAAGCAAAATGAGCAAAAAATAAAGAAGGAAATCACAGCGTTTGAGGTTGATTTTACAACTTTTAAATTAGAGGTGAAGGGAGAATAAATCACTTTCTCTGCTAATCTGCATAGTCGAGCCACTTCCACCGTTTAGCATGTTTCATAAAGCACCTTGGTGTGTGTGTGTGTGTGTGTGTGTGTGTGTGTGTGTGTTTGTGTGTG